TACACGTTCACGACTAAATTTCTAATTGCCCTCTTTACCAACGTAAAATTATGCTCTTTAACTCAGGTAATATGATAACTACAGTGCTTCCTATCTCGAATTCCCCTTGGTCTGTTCTTAATAACGATCCTTGGGGACTGTCTTTCGCTTTGATGCATCTAGCTGCTAGCACAGTGCCTGACACACAGGTGCTCATTAAATGAGAGTGAAAAGCAAGGATCCTGGAGACTAGGCGGTACAGTAAAGTCCTGTTTGTTTTGGTTCCTGGCACGATACAAATGCCAGCTTGCTCCACTCCCTTCGAATGATAGACTTTCCTGTGGGAAATTAAGAGCCCTCTCACCATACCCACATAGTTAAAGGGAAATTCTGGAGTGCTGCCCCACACCAGATGGAGGCCGCGATTCTAAGTCTCAGACGGAAACCTCTTAATATTGAGCACAACAGTGAAGTGGTAACTGGGCTCTCATGGGCAGGGGCAGTGCACGGCGGAGCACGCATGGCGGACGAGACAGATACCTGCCATCTGAGCCCAGAAACCCACATCGCGGAGGAAGCAGCTGGGTCAACAAAAGGAGCCGCTGTGGGGAGAGACCGAGCGCAGCAAGGAAGAGGCAGGGGAACGAGGAAGGCTTTACAGGATCCTTAAAGATGATGGTAAAGCTCTACCCAGAAAAGAGTAGCAGGATGCCGAGTCCCCTCAGAGGGCGTCTGAACATTCTTCGTGCCACCCGCAGCAGAAATGACAGAAGGGGGCAGATGAAAGGGTCCAGGGCCCCCTCTGTATGAGGGAAGAGGCTGGTACTGAGAGCTCCCCAGGGGGACACAGCCTGAGGGCTTCCTGGGCCATCTCCTTTGTCTTCACAGCACCTCCAGAAGTGGCACAGCAGATGCACAGAGGGTCCCCCTGGCCCAGACAGGGTAGCGGCTTTGGGACCCAGGTGGCTGCTGAATCCAGAGGCCACCTCTCAGCCTCCAGGTAAAGCTGCTTCCACCTGGATAAACTTAGACACTGGCCCAGAGCCCACCAAAGGACAGACCTCCCTTAAAGCGACCGCCTTGGTCAGGGAAGTGTGGAAGGGACTCATGTGGGACTTTGGAATGTACACGGTGAGTCTAGGAGGACCTCGCCAGCCCACACTGGCTTCTCAGCCCCTCAGCTGCTCTTGCTTTGATGACCCGAGGGAGCCTATGGAGCTGGGAGCAGAGGTGGTTCCACCGCCCCGGCCGTTGGTTGTTTAAACGTTTTATAACTTCAAAGGTCGCCTGAATGAACACACAACCCAAAGCACTCTGCTTCAAATGTGCAGAAGCGATTGATGACAACACACAGGGAGGGAACTAGAAAGGCAGAGAAAGCGTCAGAGAGAAAGAGATAGAAACAGAGGTGACCAGAGACAAAGTCAGAGGAGAGATTCTCTTCTGGGACGGCTGAGCATCTAAATCCTACCGGGTTACAGACAGACGAGGGGACTCCTGTCACTCTGTGCAGACGAATCTCGTTCTCTGCAGTATTTGTGGGGACTACGGCAGGATGCTGCCGTTACTCATGGCAACAGCATTCATGACAAGCACTTACTGACCCTCAGTGGGCACCAGGGTTGTACTGGGCACATGCCGGGCACCATCCACCCTGACTCCTCAAAGAAACCTATGAGGTTGTCTTAAGGTCGCCCCATTTTATAGATGTGGAAACAGGTAGGGGCGGTCGGATGAAATGCCCAAGTTCCACTATTATCCAATGATAGGACAAGGATTGATCCTGGGTCCATGTGTCCTTACAGCCATGTCCCAACCACTAAGCTCTGCTGACTCTACATTTGCAAGAGTTGCTCCCCAAGAAAGCTTTTCCTGAGTCCTCAAGTAAGAGTACAGACCCTCCATGACTTTGCTCTCATTTCAAACTTACTGAACAAAGAAAAAGACTCTTCTGAACTGCCTGGGAAACTGCATGTTCCCTCATCCCTCTCCCAGTGCAAAGCGACATTATTTGCGTGCCTAGGAATCACGAACCCAAACCCCTTCATTACTAAGGAAAAGGAGGCCACATGTGCCATCCCTGGCTCTCGACACATCCTTGTATGTTTTGCCCTGGCTGCAAAAGGTAGGATTCTTTCAATAAAAACTTTCTATCTCAAGATGAAATAGTCGCAAACTCTGCAGTTACACTTCTCAGTTGGAGACATCTGCTTTCCACTCTATTTCCTGAGTGCAGAAGGTCCCATTTGCTGGTCGGCTAATGGGTCCCACCAAAGGCCCAGACGCAGCGTAATGAACTGGAAAAGCAAAGCTACGTAGGCTTGAATCACTGTGCGTGGGCTGAATCGAGAGCGCTGTGAGTAGCTTAAGTCAGCTGCTTATCTCACCTGTCCTCCACGAGCGGGGCCCTCATCAGGGTTTGCCACGCTCCAGCCCTGGGTCCATCAACTGATGCTAAGAGGCAGCTGCAGGCAATGTGCTTTCCGTCCAGTGTTCCCCCTCTCGAGCCCATCCCCAAACCTTCCCCACTCTCCTTTCCCGTGGCTGTTCTGCATCTCCAATTATAGGACACCGCGTGCTTGACTGGGCAGTGCTGGACTGCCACTGTGACTTGGATTTATGAGGAAGGTCGCAGGAGGGCTCCTGCATATTCCAGACCAGTGGCTCTTATTTTCTCAGCTGGCAGTTTCTATAACAGATATTCCCTTAAATAGGCTACAGGAGAAGTACACCATTAACTGGGATTGATATCTAATTTTGGTAAGAGGATTTTACATCTAATTCATTAGGGTTCTTTAAGGAACATGTAAACCTATGGGTGATGGAGGGAATGACTAAGAGAATTATATGAACTTTTAGAAAGTGTTTTACGATAACACCAAGGGAACTTCAAAACACTATGAGAGAGAGAGGAAAGGTTTATCACGATTAGGAATGTAGCCTAGAGACAGGAGACAGGGTTGAGACCACCTGATCCAAATGAACAAATAGAAACAGTCAGGTGAACGTTGTTATAAACGATAAAGGAGATGTCCAGTAACCACTTTGGGTTTATAGTTAATGCCTATAAAAATCCCTACCTATAAATGCCAACTCGAATAAGTCATTAGACCTCTAGGGGAAAGCATACAAAATAACATAAGTCTTTATGTAAAAAAAATATAAGTTCCATACTATTCCATCATATAATAATATTCCACCATGTAAAATCAAAATTACAAACCTAGAAAGGGTCCTGAGAATCCCTACAGATTGTTTCCCTGAAGATATTTAGGCCACGGTGCTGTTTTGGCTTAAATTGTCCTGAAGATGGACATGGGATGACCACTGGGGGCCGGAGTCACCAGGAAGGGTATCAGAAATCAAACAAAGGCTGTCACGTGTCCTTGTAGAAACTCTACTGTGCCCTCACATAGAAGACCTCACATAGTGGGCATCCCACCTGCAGAAGGCTACAGCGGATCAAGGGATTGTCCAGAGGAAGCCAGTCAAAAATATAAGGGAGCAGCAGTAATAACAGCAACAGTGCTAACGAGCACAGGGCATTTGCTCTACGCCAGGCACTGTTCTAAGAATCACGCTTTCAACCACCCCACGAGGTAGGTGCTGTTACCGACCCCATTGCAGAGATGCAAAAATTGAGGCATAGAGAGTTGAAGTAGCTTGTCTAAGTCAAGAAGCTTGTGTCTGCACCCAGGCCATGTGACACCAGATTCTAGGCTCTTAACTACAGGCTACTTACTACCTGGGAAAGACTCAGCAGAATTCCATGCTGCTCCACTGCGGGGCAAAGGCCTAAAGTAATTTATCTAAGTTAATAAAACCAAGATAAGGCCCGATAGAGAAATAATGGACTTTCCAACAAACTGTAGATTCCTAACGTTAGAATAAAGTCAATTTCAGACAAAGAAAAGGAAAAGTGCTTTGCACGACAGGAAGTACATTATGACATTTTATTGTCCTGAAGAAGAATTGAGCCTATGAATTCCAGGAGACTCAAAAAAGTGCTGGCGATCGATAAGGTGTTACTCAGGGGAAAGGTTTGTTCTGAGGTGTTCTGTCCTTTCCCGGAGGAGGAAGCAGGAGACTTTCTATGCCCCGTCGCCCAGGGATACCCTTAGTTATTTCTCTTACAGGCAGGCTGTGGGGCTGAAGGAGGGAGGGCCTCCCCAGCGTGGCAAAGCCTTTGTCCGATTCTTACTACCCTTCTCGTACCGTAGGCCTCCTGCTAGCCCTGTGCCAACCTCGTCTCTAAGAAGCTCCACCCCAGGAAGGAAGGTGGTCTGTGGGTGCGAGCAGCAGCTTTCAGTGTGAAGTGCTTGCCAAATAATTTCAAAGGGTTGGACCCACATCGGTTATGGCCTAACGGCAGGGCCGAGTCTTCTGACCGAGGACCTCTGAGCTCCACTGTATCCCCTCTGCCCATTTCCCTAGTCTGTCCCCTCCAAGTACACAGGGGAGGTTGTAACGTCTCTGGGAAGAGAAACACCGCTAACTGCAGGCCCACAGGTCTCCTGGCCTCTGCCTCGTTTCGTCTCCTTCGCTCGAAAGGTCTCAGGCTCCCCATGCCAAACGACCCCCCAGGACTTGCAAGAATGCACAGAGCTCATCTGGCTCTACATGCAGATAGCTCGCTGGGCAATGGAGGGACCTAAGGGTGAAAGGGTTTTATTTCAAGTGCCTGCTGGCCTGGCAGCTCCAGGGAACAAAGAACCCCCACTCTGGTGTGGGTGCCCCAGGAGGATAAGGCCTTAGGGCACTGCACCAGTAGGGTGCAGGGGTGCAGGATGTAAAAAAAGAGAGAGAGAGATTTGGCTTGGTGAACAGGATCCGGGCAGGAGGCCGCTCACAGGCCACATATGAACTATTTACTGAGTTGTTCGGTTTCAAAGGATTAAAGAGACACACATGCAGACTCGTTAGCGCCGGTCTGTTCAAAGGAGATCGGCCACTCCATCAGCTGCAGGCATTTTTGCACAAGCATTCGGGGCGGGACGGAGGCGATTTCTGCTTCTACTCACCTACGCAGTTATCGCAAAGGCTACAATGAGAGGCACGAGGGGGCCGGAAAATCTTGCAGGTGAAACAATATTTAAGTTTCACAGTCTGGCCATTGATGATGACTTCTTTGGTTCTGGGAGGTGGGCGGTACCCCCCTGAACTGGTGCCGTTTGCGATATCTGTGGAGAAAAGAAAAAGAGCAGACACCCTTAACGTAGCACTTAACCTCTGCGGGCCCTCGCGCCTAAGGGGCTTGGGGTCAGCGCTGCCAAGTGCAGCGCCCTCACCTGTGCCTTTCTGGGAGGCTCCTGGCACCAGACACACAAATGTCGGGGGCATTGGCCGTCCCATAACCTTGGCGCTTCTTGCCAGGTCTTGGGGCTGTGCTTGCTATTTCACGCTGGTGGGAGTGACCACGTGCTGAGCTCTGGCCAATGGGATGCAAGCCTACATGGCCCCGCCCAGCTGGTGGGCCCCTCCCCAAACCCCGCCCATTCACTCCACTCCTGCCCCTGAGTCACCTTGGAGCTACAAACTCGGGTCCTTGAATGACCACACGAGGAAAACGGCCCCTGAGACCTCTTCCCTGGACCACACGGTTACAGGAGCACCACATTCCCACAGTGTTAAATTGCTGAAAGTTTGGATTCCATTCATTGCAGCAGCCAGCGCTGCCCTAATACTGTGGGTGATATTTACATCAGGCACACTTTTTGTCTCCGGCAGCCAACTCCACATCCGGCTCCAGAATCTGCCCACTTTGCGCACTGGCCTCCTCAGAAATACCAGGTATTGGATGGGGGGCATGTCGAGTTAAATATATATATATTTAAATCTTTAAGTGTATATTTTAAAAATAATTTCTATATTTTATTTGACCACCATCTTTATTTAGACCAGTTTTTAAAATGTTGAATAAAATACAAATAGTCTATTTTTTTTTTAAGTTTCATTTTCATTTACAGTCTGGTTCTTGTCCCTTAGAATCACCCAGGGAGCTCGTAAAACTCCAGTAATACATGGCCCCTTCCCTAGACCCATTAAATCAGAGCCGCCTGGAGTGATTCTAATGTGTTGCAGGGTTGAGAACCTCTGCTCTACAGGAAGATAAAACATCCAGTTTTATCCTTGTTTAGACCCCTCACAGCCCTATGAGACTTGCCAGAGGGCATCTGGGCAGCTAGCTGTGCAGTCAAGTACAGGCCACAGGTGGACGGAGGATAGCTTCACCCAGGGCTTCGTGGCCGATAAACACGGCAGAGCAGATCTGGTAGCTAGAGGAAATCTCGGGAAATTCACGGTGTTCTCTCAAAACAGAGCTGGTATCATTAAAGGCAGTCGTTCCTTTTAGTCCATACACACTCGAGGGACACACTATCAGACAGCAAGAGTTGTAACATGCTTTTGGAAATTTCCAAAGTGGCAGGAATGAGTCCCACCATCCAATTAGCACCTCCCCCGCCCCCAACTCAACCGATAAGGGCAAGAGGTATGTGGAGAGTTTTCAAAACTATTGATATTTCAGTCTTGCTCTCAGAAGTTCTGATTTCATTGGTGGGAGACAGTCTGGCATCGGGGGTTTCAAAAGCTCTCCAGGTACAGGAATCTCCAGCCAAAGCTGAGGACCACTCCCAGTGTGGTCCATGCAGTGTCCCTGTCATCTGAGAAGCAGGTTCTGGGCCCCGCCTGGAGATGGTGCAACAGAATCTGCATTTACCAAGATCCCCTGGGGTTCCTGCACTTGAAAGTTTGAGAACCCTGGTCTGGGTGCCTGTGAATACGCCCCATCCATACACCACACCCACCTCACACTCTTAAATTCTTCTTTGTCATGTACCCAAGAGAACTCAGAGAACACAGCTTCACTCGTTTTGAAACGGTCGCTTCACAAATCAGTCCCAGCCACCCAAGCATTTTCCCGTGGAGGACTTGGTGCTTTGGACAGCCAGTGGCATCTGCACAGCCCCTCTGCCCCCGGCAGGGCGGCTGTCACTCATTGATAGAACCCATGACTCCGGCGTCATGAGTTTAGCACCCCGCCCCCTCCTTTACCCCAATTTTCTTTAAGGGGCTGTCAGAGGCCTGGAATCTGCCCCCAGCCCTTTAGCCTAAGGCTTTTGGTATTGGTGAGTACACCAGCCTCGCTGGCAGGGGGAACATTACGAGCGATTACTAGTCATGGAAAAGGAAAGCTCCACGAGCAGGTTGTGGGAGAGGACAGAGAGTCCAGGGACCTGTGAGGGACAGAAGGGAGGGCAGGGAAATGGAAAAGCGAGCAGCAGCCCTGCTGCTTTGCCTCTTTGGGGGGACAACCCTTCTACTTAGAATAATTAAACATCTGTGAAGCCACCCCAAGGATGCCAGGTGATCTTGCCAAGCAGGACACCATTTCTCGGCATGTGTCCCACCTGCCTGGCGCCCCAGGTGGCTGCCCTATGGAATGGTGCTAAATTCAGCGGGCATCTGGACAGGCACTGAGCTCCCAAACATACGCAAGGAAGAGGAAGGCATCTCCACCGACTCTGTCATAAGGAGAAGACAAAGAGACAGCACCGCTGCGTACTTCCCTGAGCATCGGGTAAAAATAACTGGCTTTGAACAAACACATCAAAGATAAGGTCAGATCTTTACCCAGTGCCAACTGGGTGCCACCGAAGCCTAAATTAATTATGACTGTCACCTCGCTAGCCTTATGTCGTTCAGCTGTGAAGTCTGCGGTGTCTATTTAACTCTTGCAAACGTGGCTAGAGAAGCTAGAGAGACATATAGGTGTAAAAACAACAATCCAATCACTAATATTTGAGTTAATTTAATCAGAAAAGTTTGAGAACTGATTTGTCAAGGAACGTGTTTTAAAAAGCAGGGATGACAAACTGACCTACACTAGAATGATGACTGAAAAAGCCCAGTTCTAGAATGGTCATGATTCGAAGAAGTGCGAACCTGCTAGTACTTCTTAAGACAAACTCGAGTGATCCTATAGTTCATACACTTTCAAAAGATTAAACCTCTGATACAAAGTGAAAGCTACAATTCAGCAGACGTGGTAAACTGATGCTGAAGTCTTCAACTAAACCCACAAACTCTTTGACTAAATATCCGGAGAGCTCTTTATGTCAAAGGAATGGAAGAAGACAAGCAGGATTCGGGGCCCAGTTACACCATCATCAAGTGACCGAAGGACCACAGAACTAAAAAAAAAAAAAAAAGTCCATTGATATTCATAAAGGATTTACTCTGAGCAAAATACCAGGCCAGAGGCAGTGGAGGACCCATAAATAGACAGAGATGTCCGTGGGGTGGGGAGGGGTCGGTGGGGGTCCTGCTGGGCTGTCCGATGAACATCTCCCGGCCACCCCATCCCAGCCTGCTTTCCTGACGGCCCTCAGAGCCTGCTCTCTAAGTACAGTCTGACGAAGAAGCTCCGGGCCTCCTGTGAGGCGCAGCAGTCCCCCGGGCCCGGCCCCCTCTCTCCTGGTACACGGCCTTACGCAGAGCCAGTGCCTGGAGCACCGGCCTCCATGCTCCACTCCCCGGTGTCTGCACGGGATGTCTTCTCCACTCGGGCCTGCGATCCTGCTGTCGGTGGAGACAACCCTTTTCCCTCAGGTCCAGCTTGTGTCCACCTTTGGGCGCGCACTGTACCCGGCTCATTTATTTATCCAGTCACTCGCTCTCACTGTGCTATGCGGTGCCAGCCCTGTGCTGGGAGCGGGGGCTACAGCAGGAACTGAACAGATTTTTTCTCTGTGGGTGGTGTTCGTGGGCTGGAGGGAAGACCAGGACCTCCTCCAGTGCATCCGGTACGAGGATTAACTTCCCTCTTTCCCCAGATGACACTCGAGGGCAGGGACCACGCCTTACCCATGTCGATGTTCCCGGTGTCCAGCACAAGTAGGTCCCCAGGAACTGTCCACTGCATGGAAGGCCAACTGTCCTGACAGGTAGGGAGCAACGATGCTGGGATGCACAGGACTGGTGTCCCAACTCCTCCACACCCACCTGTCAGAGTCACACTGTCCAGTGATTCCTCCCTCCCCGGAATGCCCGCCACAAGGTCCTTCTGAAGCTGTCACTCCTCTTAAATGTGTCCATAGCCGCTGCTGGTCCAGAGACCCATCTCCCGCAGCTGGTCAGTGTCACCTGGGAGGGCTGGGCTGTGGGGGCAGCTCTGGGAAGAGAGGGTTCTTTCACATAACCCCGCGGCACCAGGCACACCTACGCCCAGGGCAGAGGTGAGTGACGAGGCCCTGAGACCCACCTGGGAACAAAAGACATCCTCTTTACCGTTCAGACGGATGCCAGTAGCCTTCATGGAATCTGTTTCTAAACCCTGGGGATGACGAGGACCCGTGGCCCGCATCACAGGGCATGGAAGGTGGCGTTCCTGTTCTAAACCTCCATTAGTTGAGTTTTGGATTTTCGTTTCGTTGGGCAACAATTGTGCCTCTGCTTCTTAGGGCTGCTCTTTGTGGTTTAAATACAGCTGTTGAAAAAGCTTAATTGAAGTCTGCAATAACTAATGGTTAAAGAACACGAGAATCTGGAGGGAAAAAACCGCTAACGGTTCTGCACGTTGATATGAGTCAGTGTTTCTCAAGGACATTTTTATACACAAACGTTTTGAAAGAAAGCTTAAAAGCTTAAAATGGCCCTTTCCTTCATAAAGCACCTCCCTCCCCAAATTGGTGAGCCGAAACAGAAACAGTAACAGAATCTTGGTCTAGCGCGAGCCTCACAATCAGCCTGTGGGCAGAGAATTCGAGGAGAGAGAAAGCGGAGAGGCCAGGATGAGCTCAGGGACACAGAACTGCAAGTCCACTAAGTTTTAAGTTGTTCGTTAGCATATGCCAAGTTCAGAGCCATTCTCCAAACAACACGCCATCCTTTCTTGAGAATGCTAGAGCTTGCATCCTGAGAGACCCCCTTGTCTGCCGTCTTATTTATTCCTGCCCCCAATTCAGGGATGAAACTGTGGAACTTTTAAAATTGTTGACCTTCACCATAGAGAAGCCCTGCCTTATCCACGTTTCTGTTTTCCATGGTTTCATTACCCACGGTCAACGGTGGTCCAAAAATACTAAGTGAAAAATTCCAGAAATAATTCATACGTTTTAAATTGTTCTGAGCACCTCACTTCATGGCATCACGCAGGCATCGTGTGGTGTCACGTCATCAC